TATATATATATATATATATATATAACTAGACAAACCTTATGGTTGTACGGCAGTGAAGCATCAGTGCCAGCATGTTTGTTGCTGTCTTTGGTGATGATGATGATGATGTGGTTCAAATCATTTTGGTTGATCGCCTGTTTGTTGAGTCAGATGTTTAGCGTTTATGTGTGATGATGATGATGATGTGGTTCAAATCATTTTGGTTGATCGCCTGTTTGTTGAGTCAGATGTTTCGAAAGCGTTTATGTACATTTTGTGGCGTCATGCGGTCGAATGCAGCTGAATTTGGCGGAGATATGAGCCACTGTTCACATGATATTGGGGGAACAAACCCTTCAGGGTTGTGATGGCGTCAAACCCAACCTTAGAATGAAGATATGGATAAGTTTGTGTGATGTGTTAGGAAATATTTTAAGCCTGGTTTTGCCGCTTCACGATGATCAACTAACCAATGGTTATATCTTCCGACTACCATATCTACTGTGTACATTCTGGGGAAGGAAGTCACCATTTTTATGAAAACCGACTGTGGGGATACTTTTTGGATCATATAGTGGTTTCATTTGAGGGCGCCATTACGTGTGTTACCCCTCATCATACTAGGTTGGGTGGGCGGAAACATGTTACTGCTGACGCCGTTTTTGCACTTTCACGCCTTTCCTCAACCCTCCTACCCTACCCTACTGGGTGTCAGAAACCAGGATACAGGACGCAAGTACTCTCATTGAACTGACTTCCCCATCGCTCTCTTCTGGGTTCTGGCTGCGCACTTCTGGTGATGCAGGGACCGCTGGGGTTGGATGTGATGGGGTGGGTGTTGTATTGAGTGATCGAGCGGAGGCGTGATTGGATACCCGTTTATAGTCGCTTGTGTGCGGTTCGTTCGGCAACATCTGTGAGAGAATCTAAAGAATGTGATGTCCATCGCACCCTGTTTATTGTGTCTTCTTACGCACTAAGTAACTTCATCTCTGAATCTGTCAAAGATAGCTTCTGTCACGATCTATGTCCCTTTTCAAAACGAGCTAGATTCTCAGATGTCTTTGTGGTTAGTAGCGATATGAATGCCCATGTAGGTAAACCTAGCACTGCTGAGGCCCGATTGGGTGGTCGTTCTGGGTTGGTCATGGGGGCGAGATGGCTCAAGTGGTAGAGCGCGAATTTACTGACCGGAAGGTCCGTGGTTCGAGCCCGCCTCTGTATCTCGACCTTCCCTGTCTAGGCCTGGGCAACCTGGCAGTATCCCAGCCATCGTGCAATCTTCGGGTGGCATGGCAGTTAGGCACCGAAAGGGTGGTACAGCTGAATGGTTTTTCATGAGACACACGGACAGCGTAGGTCACCTGCTTCAGATGTGTGTCAAACACAGACTGTTCCATTGCAGTACTAATTTCCGGGACAGCGGAAATAGCGTGGTGGCCACCAGCGAACCTCCTCGAATCCAACTGGACCACAGCGCCATCAGTTATCAGTGACCAGGGTCGACCACCGGCTGCCGCTCTTTCTGGAACAATAACGTGAACTTACCATGCACCTGTACACCGCTGATTTTCATTGCGCTTTCGAGGTCTACACAAAACACGCACTCCTTGCTTAATCACTGAAAAGCTAGTGGACCCATAAATCAAGCGAAACTTTCAGAAGCGGATGTCGGAAATAAACGGCTACTCGGAAAAGATATCCAAAGAGCCACCCAGAGCCGGAACTTTTGTTTGTGGTACAATCCCAGCAACCTCGTCCAAATATTGGATCCCTGATAGGGCCGTGTCTTCGCTATGGAAGTCACCATTTTTATGAAAACCGACTGTGGGGATACTTTTTGGATCATATAGTGGTTTCATTTGAGGGCGCCATTACGTGTGTTACCCCTCATCATACTAGGTTGGGTGGGCGGAAACATGTTACTGCTGACGCCGTTTTTGCACTTTCACGCCTTTCCTCAACCCTCCTACCCTACCCTACTGGGTGTCAGAAACCAGGATACAGGACGCAAGTACTCTCATTGAACTGACTTCCCCATCGCTCTCTTCTGGGTTCTGGCTGCGCACTTCTGGTGATGCAGGGACCGCTGGGGTTGGATGTGATGGGGTGGGTGTTGTATTGAGTGATCGAGCGGAGGCGTGATTGGATACCCGTTTATAGTCGCTTGTGTGCGGTTCGTTCGGCAACATCTGTGAGAGAATCTAAAGAATGTGATGTCCATCGCACCCTGTTTATTGTGTCTTCTTACGCACTAAGTAACTTCATCTCTGAATCTGTCAAAGATAGCTTCTGTCACGATCTATGTCCCTTTTCAAAACGAGCTAGATTCTCAGATGTCTTTGTGGTTAGTAGCGATATGAATGCCCATGTAGGTAAACCTAGCACTGCTGAGGCCCGATTGGGTGGTCGTTCTGGGTTGGTCATGGGGGCGAGATGGCTCAAGTGGTAGAGCGCGAATTTACTGACCGGAAGGTCCGTGGTTCGAGCCCGCCTCTGTATCTCGACCTTCCCTGTCTAGGCCTGGGCAACCTGGCAGTATCCCAGCCATCGTGCAATCTTCGGGTGGCATGGCAGTTAGGCACCGAAAGGGTGGTACAGCTGAATGGTTTTTCATGAGACACACGGACAGCGTAGGTCACCTGCTTCAGATGTGTGTCAAACACAGACTGTTCCATTGCAGTACTAATTTCCGGGACAGCGGAAATAGCGTGGTGGCCACCAGCGAACCTCCTCGAATCCAACTGGACCACAGCGCCATCAGTTATCAGTGACCAGGGTCGACCACCGGCTGCCGCTCTTTCTGGAACAATAACGTGAACTTACCATGCACCTGTACACCGCTGATTTTCATTGCGCTTTCGAGGTCTACACAAAACACGCACTCCTTGCTTAATCACTGAAAAGCTAGTGGACCCATAAATCAAGCGAAACTTTCAGAAGCGGATGTCGGAAATAAACGGCTACTCGGAAAAGATATCCAAAGAGCCACCCAGAGCCGGAACTTTTGTTTGTGGTACAATCCCAGCAACCTCGTCCAAATATTGGATCCCTGATAGGGCCGTGTCTTCGCTAAAAGCCCGGTGACAGATTCACCCTCATCCGACAACTTCACCCCACGCATAGTCCGATTCCAGGTGAAACTGGGTGTCCGTGCAGACTGAGAAGCCTGGTGGACCCGAAAAGCCAAACAATGGAGATGCGAAAATTGGAAACGTCCACAGGTGGTTCCACTTTATTCGTTCGACTGACCCTCGGAAGTCTCTTGTCAGCGAAATAATCAGGGACCAAAAATGAGTCCTTGATATCCAGCAAAGCAGGACGTTTGGACTGTTGGATACAGTATTCCAAACAGTAATTCGGTTGGCTAACTGCTACCTACAATCCAGAATCCTGGCCTTCAACGGAAAGGTGGACTGTGAAGATAGAGCCGTTTCAACATCAGAAGTGTCCGATTGTATATCTCTACTCAGTCAACTCATCGTGCTGATGGACTTGACAACCTTCCACTTGCTCTATCCAGGGATGGTGGTGGTTTCCTAGCCTATTTGACAGAAGTGTCCGATTGTATATCTCTACTCAATCAACTCATCGTGCTGGTGGTCTTGACAACCTTCCACTTGCTCTATCCAAGGATGGTGGTGGTTTTCTAGCCTATTTGAGTCCAGCTGGGAGAAATGGACTGTCCCAGACAACTGGGGTGAATCGGTTAAGTAACCCGTTTTCAAGAAGGATACTTACGATGAATGTAGTAACCACTGAGGTATTGGTTGGACTCCTGTTGTGATAAGACTTCCGACGTCACTGATTCTTCGCCATCTTACGGTGGCACGCGAAACCCTGGCAAGTGAGAATCAAGCGGGATTTCGGCCAATTAGAGGTTGCGTTGACCACATCTTCACACTCCGTCAGGTGTGCGTGACGTGGCCTCTGCGGACAGATGATGTGGGGTGTCTCAGAAGCGTTGCTAGTTTTGGATTAGTAACGAGATGATTAGAAAACAATTATTTGGTGGCAGATACTTTAATTGCAGCAGCGAAGCATCTATGTTGAACACTGTCATGTTGTCGATGATAGTGATGGTGGTAATGACTTAAATTGCACCATCGACTACGATGGCTCGGCCATGTTCTGCGCATGCCAAAATATCTTCTATCAAGACTAGTGTTGTTCCTCGTGCCCTCTTCAGAATGGTGCAAACCGCTAGGTGGACAACCTATGGCTTGACAGAAGGGCCTGAAAGGAACTACGAAGAGGTTCGGTGTTTTTGGTGTTCTATGCCTTCCACAATGATCCCGCCTGTACTTAGCTGGAAACATTACAAGAAATGACGCCTGATAGATCGCAGTGGTGTTTGTGCTGTCAGTTTCTTTCCAGATTGTCTGGTAGGGCGCTTGGAGGTGTAGGCATCTCAGAATGCTTGACATAGACCAGCACTAGGTCCCCTCGTTCACCCACTCTTTTTATCTTCTTTTCACTCTGTGGCTCTGAATATAATTAGATGAACTCTATAGTTGTACGGCAGTGGGTCCCCTCGTTCAGCACTGATGTTGCTGTCTCTGATGATGCTGCTGCTGATGATGATGATGAAGATGATGGTGATGATGATCTTGATCATGATGGCGGAGGATTGGTGTAGGGCAGCAGGGGATGTAATATTCCGTAATAATGGATGTCACTCAGACGGTGCACTGAACGACGCCTGACGATGCAGACTATTGCGGCCGTTGGCTAACAAAGGCGACAGGCCTGTCTAGTGGGACGGTTCGCATCAGAAAACATGGGATACTATCCGAATTCCTTGTTGATATATACTTCTGTGAAGCAACAACCATAGGTGATCGCGTGTTCATCGTTGTATGATAACTCAGTTTTTTTCTTGATTACTGGCTTACAATGTACTGTCTTGTACAAGAAGGCGATCTATCTAGCTAGTATGATAAGTTAATCAGGGAAAATATGACGAACAATGGAAAAAGTATGTTATAATCAATCGTGATAAAAACAGTCACTCGGTGATTGCGCATCCACCTCATTTACCGTGTGCAGCCATTTTGTTCCGGTTGTCCATCTTTGTACATGTCCTTTGGAAGCAAGTGCAACACGGTTTTTCAATAATCAGTGCTCTTTAAAATTGCTCGTTTCATTGCCTACTATGGGATGGGGGGGGAGGGCTAGTGCTTTTCTGAAGTGGTTTTCCTCTGCTGTGCTGAAGAGCTTATTGAGAGTCTATCAATTATACTGGTTGTTCCTATTTTGCCACTGGACAACCCCCTGAAAACCTCACTCGATCGAGTTATTGTATTCCTCTGTTCAAGGGATCGTATTTTTACTGAATATGTCAGCAACCACGTCCGCGGCCCGTTCAGCGGTCCGTGAGCGTGTTACGACTGCCGTTAACTGAAGCAGCAAGCCATTTTCTAACTATTAGCAAACCAGGATTTTATCAGTGAAGCCGGTTTTTGTTTGAATGCATCCAACCGAGGCAAAGTTACCCAACCGAAAATAGCCAGCCGACGGAACATCAAAAGTTATATTCATCATATTACACAGGATATCTTGTGAGTTGCGAAGGTTCAGATAGACATTCAACGCTACCAACATAAAGGTGTCTATACTTATTCTACTTATCTGGATCTGAACACCACCTGGAACTTTTTCATTTTTCTTGAATGTACCGACAAGATTTTCATAATTTATGCGTTTTTTTACACTGTAGGGATAATGCACCCGTATAATTTGATTTGCAGCCACTTTTCGGTCGTTCAACTGTAACGACCTCTCGCTGTGAGCTGCCGTGACACTCGAAGGAAGCACGAAAGTTGGGATACTGTCAGGTTACCCAGGCCCAGTCTGGAGCAGTCGGGATGCCAGGGTTTGGTTCGAACAACGAGCCATCCAAACATTAAGTTCCCACCGTCTCCACTGGGCTATCTGAAGTTCAGGACAAGCCAATTAGAACCAGATTTCATGTCTACCTCTTGGGTAACTGATGGCCGTACTGGACTGGACGTGGTCTATTTTTATACATTGACGAAAATCTGAAGTTAAGCAATTGGATTCTGGAGCGAATAAATCCAAAAAATCAAGTGCTTCTTTGTAGTCCCCGTGTAGATTCGGGCAGATCATGTTAATAGAGTGTGAAAAACATCAGATAGTTAGGACTAGAGCACCTAGGGTTTAGCGAAACTTAAATTTCCGTGGATCTAGCGGATTGGAGTTAAGCCAACTGGCATATTTGAAAGAACAGAAAGGCTTGTTATAGCAAACTACGCACCCTGCAAATACTCGTCCATGCTCGAGTTTACACAACACTTCTGAAAGAATAAGAATTTTGATATTTTGGAAAATAGGAAACTGCTAATTTCTATGTGAATTCATGCTTCGGTCTGAAGCGTCAGGCCAACACTGTTGGAAATAAATACGTTTATTTTTAAAAAAAACGGAATTATAAAGTTGTAATTTCGCCACTGCTTCTATAGCAGCAACTTCCTACTGCTGTTACTTTTCTCTGCAAAGCAAAATCCCTCCAGTGAAAGTCCACCTGCAGCGAACGATTGTTTCTTTGTGGACACTGATGCCACTTCAATTTGCGAGCTTGCTCGCTATTACGGAACAAAATTAAGCAGTGAATGTGTGAAATTATTACAACAATTTTTACTTCCGTACTTTTATCGCTACGGCTTCTGGAGAGAAAATCCCAGAACGTAACATCCTGGCAGTGCTGGTGTCCGTTGGTAACATTCAACGAGTAATCGCCTGTCAACCGTATGCACCGTTCTACTTTGTCGGTATTCGTTGGAAGTGTCATTGCTAGTCATGCAGATGTCAGTTCTTATATGTTACTGCGTGTTCCGTATATCGGGATATTGTGAACACACTTCTGATAAATTTCAGCAGAGATCATGCAGATGTCAGTTCTTATATGTTATGTTCTGTTCCGTATATCGGGATATTGTGAACACACTTCTGATAAATTTTCAGCAGAGAACTTTGTGGTCTGCATGATTTATCTCCGTTTCGTTTCATTTTCATTCATCGGTGATGAAATATCATTGGTTGAGTCTTGTTACCGAATACTTTCTATCTACTATCTTCCCAACTCCGTTGGTAGCCCCTCCAATAATTAGCGTAAGAAAAGCAGTACCAGTGACTCAACCGCCTAGTTGAGGTTTATGTTATATATACACTG